CGAAAAAAGAAATATAAGTGCTAAAGCCATTCTTATACCAGAGCTCAATAACATCAAGTGCACCGCTAGCGACAGCTATATATGCTGACTTCTTTCTTCCACTTTTTTCAGTTTAAATCTCTCATTCTTATTGTTTTGCAGTTGAAAGAAAATATTTGTCTACTTGAGTCGAAATCTCGGACCAAGTTCTATTGTTTGAAAGTTTAATCTTGTATTAGTTTTGAATTGTGGATTGCTTATATGTTTACTAGAAAATATATCTCTGTACATTAAAAGAAGGAGAAGAAAAATCAAGAGTGTATTCAATCTCAAGTAGCAGATGTGAACAAGGTTCCTGATGGTGGTAATGACTGAAACAAAAGTTCAATTAAAGATATGGTTGATGAAGAATTTCGAAAAAAATTATTCAAAGTGACGATAATCTATAGTATATTAAGAGAAATTGTAATGAGTGTTTAAATTCATATATTAACAAATAATTTTTATGTATCAAATGTAGTACAAAAATGTTGCTCAAAAAAAAATTTGAATTATAGAAGTTGAGTTTTGAGAGTACAATTTTCCTTTCTTAAATTTATATCCTAATTTTTATTTTCTTTAGTTTGTTTAAGACTCGTTAAATCCTCCCAACAAATTGGTATCAAATATTACTTTTACAGCATTTAGTAAGAAATTTTAAAATAATGTGCAATGAACGTTTAATTCTAACTAGTATGAATAAAGATCCGGTAATTTAGTGTATCATAAGAAAGATAATTGAAAATATAAATGAAAGACATGAAGATGTACATTGCATTTAGATATTAGTGATTCAGGAAATTGGAAAAATATTGATCAAAACTTGTTGACTTGATACTGAAAAGAGATCCCCTAGGATGAACTTTTTACTTTTCCTAAAGGTTTAGAAAATCGGCATAAGTCTATCGAAAAGAAAATTTAAAACAGATTGATTGTAATAGTATAATTATTGATTTTCTATTAAACAAATTTAGAAAATAAATTTAATTTAGACATTTGAAAGTTTTAAATTATTATTTTTGTAACTTTAAATATTTTTATTAAATAAAAATATTATTTTACATATTTTAAAATATTTATAGGGATCCCATATTTGAAGTTGGTCTAAATCCCCAAAAATTTTAGGACCCCTATTAAGAATAAATTTAAAGGCACACTGTCGTCTAAATTGATGATCTCTATTAAAGATGAATAACATTATTTTAAATTAAATGAGTCCCGAATCCTTACTTTTAATTCAACCTATCGACACCTATGTGCCATAGACAAGAGCGTTTAACCCAGTAGTGCTTCTTTGAACCAATACATTAATGCCATTTTCTTGAGGGTTTATATTACCGCATATCTTTTGCATTCTACCT